AATAAGGTCTTTGGCCTTTTGGAAATAATTATTTATAATCACTCTGTGATGTTTGTGCTATCTGACTTCAGGGAGCATTGGCACAGAGTATGCTGGGTGCGAGCCTCAACTACCATAAATGGGTATAGCTCCACTGACGTTACAATTTCCAGTGACACAGAAATCAGTGGGTCTTCTGCACCCACTTACACCACCTGAAGAGCTGGCCACTTATGCTCTCATTAGGCCACTGTTTAGCACTCTGTCCCATTGGTCCATTGTTTAGTGCATTCTATCTCACTGGTAAACAAACAAACATGGACCAAAAAACACCCCATAACAACCACAAAACTCCCCATAACAACCACAAAACCACAAAACTCCCACCTCATTCTATTCAATTCTAGCTCCTGGAGAGGAAAAGCTGGCAGAGTTTACCACCCAAGTGGTGAAGCTATGAGCTACCAACTGTTTCATTCCAATAAGAACATAAGAACGGCCAGACTGGGTCAGACCAAAGGTCCATCCAGCCCAGTGTCCCGTCCTCTGACAGTGGCCAATGCCAGGTGCCCCAGAGGGAGTGAACAGACAAGTTATCATCAAGTGATCCATGCCCGGTCACCCAATCCCAGCTTCTGACATCTGATGGTCCCCTTCGTTTCCCCAGCATCAGGGGGCAAGTGGTACTGAACAGAGAGGGCAATAAACTGAAGAATAACTTTTCCTTTAAAAAAGTTATTTAAAAAAAAATCAAATCCTTAATGCCAACAAGACCCATTGTAGCTGCCCTCCACCAGATAGCGATTGGCTGCTCACTAAGCACAGTTAATTATAGCATCTCTGCCAGTTTTTAATCACACAGATAAAAACCATTAAGGCAGCCACCATTCAGTACTGCATAATTCATACAAGTTCATTTTTCTTATGAACACTGCATTTTTATCTGCTGACTACGACACTGCTTCGAGTCCAATCTCTTTAGAAAGGAATTATAAGCAGGCAGCTATTTTGCAGAACTTTAACAGCTAAACATTCACTTGCTCACTAGGATAAGTGGATCCATGACGATGTTGCCCTGTAGCCAGACAACACCAGCACGATCACTTCCAAGCATTTAGGAACACAGGATTCATGTTCTTAAGCCATTTAGTCTTAGAAATACTTCAGAAAATTCCAACCGCCCACCCCACCTGTTGTCATGGTGAACTTGCCAAAAACTCTTCTCTATAGAGATGCATGGATTAGTTGGGAGGTCACCACATTATCCTATGGGACCCCAGAGTATTTCTTTCCCAATGAATTCACCCTGTTTTCCTTCTTGTCCGTGGAGTCACTTACAGAGAAAGACCAAGGGAATAGGATAGAAGGATTTTGGTGACTGCAGCATGCTCCAGGAAAACCGACACATGGACATCATCTGCTTGTATGCATCAAAATCACTTAACGTTTAGCCAGATGTGTGTGAGGTGCAACATTCAGTCTCATATCTAGATTCTGAACAGGCCAAAATTCAGGAACTGTTATTCAAAGGCCCATGATAGACACTTAGCCATAAATGAGAGCCGCATCCAGGGTTCGGGGCAGGCCTATCTCTAGTTTTTTCTGTATCCATTTTGACTTAAATATGAGTAAAATGAAGCAACAAGAACTACGAAGCCCTGTTTTTTGCTTTGGCCTCTTTTTTGTTCTGTTCCTGCTGCTGCTCACTTGTTTTCATCTCTGTGGGCCGGAGACAGTCACAGCATCAAATGGATCAGATTCAACGGCTAAGCGATATAAAATGGAAGGAACCAAGGTAAAATTCAAATGGGGAGGGCAAACTTTTTGGCCCGAGGACCACATCTAGAAATAGAAATTGTACAGTGGGCCATGAATACTCACAAAATTGGGGTTCGGGTGCTGGAGGGGGTGAAGGCTCTGGTTGGGGGTACAGGCTATAGGGTGGGTTTGGGGATGAGGAATTTGAGGTGTAGGAGAGTGCTCCGGGCTGGGACTGAGGGGTTCAGAGGATGGGAGGGGGCTCAGGGTTGGGGCAGGGGGTTGGGGCACAGGGGGAGGCTCAGGGGTGCAGGATCTGAGCGGCACTTACCTCAAGTGGCTCCTGGAAGCAGCGGCATGTTCCTTCTCCAGTTCCGATGCAGAGGTGCGGCCAGGCAGCTCTGCACGCTACACTGTCCACAGGCACCACCCCTGCAGCCCCCATTGGCTCTGGTTCCCAGCCAATGGGTGCTGCGGGGGCGGCATTTGGGATGGGGGCAGTGTGCAGAGTGGAGCCCCCTGGCTGCCCCAATGTATAGGTGCAGGAGGGGGGCTATACCACTGCTTCCGGGAGCTGCATGGAGCAGTCCCCGACCCTGCTCCCCGTCTGGAGCCCTGGACGGGGGCCATGCTGCTGCTTCTGGGAGCTCTGTGGTGCAGCCCCCGATCCTGGTTCCTGGCTGGAGCACCGGAGTGGGGCAAGCCCCAGACCCCATTCCCCAGCTGGATCTCGAGGGCTGGCTAAATCATATAACGAAAGTCCACCCCCTCCGAGATATACCAGTCCAAAGAGACAAACATACGAAATCCACATAGTCTACATCTCAGTTGCAAGTGGGGCTCAGCTGCTCTATCCTGAGAGTCTGGTCTCTCTTTCACTCAAACTCTCTTATAAAGCCCCCTGGCTCAGTTTTCAGCCCTTCCCAGGTTCTTTTCCGTTTCTCCCCATCAATCCCCCCGGGCTCTGTTGGGTCACTCCCTGCTCTTTTGCTGAGCAGCAACTACAGGGCTTCCTTTTCTCCCCTCTCTCCCCACCAAGACAACTTTTTCCCCTGGAAAGAGAACATCTTACTCTCCCCCAAGGCCTCTTATCTTTCCCGAAGAAGTCAAGTTACATGACCTTACTGCATCTTACCACCAGGGAGTGAACTAACTGTGTCACAGGCGGGGCTGAGGTTTACTTCTTCTTAAAGTGAATGCATCCGATGAAGTGAGCTGTAGCTCACGAAAGCTTATGCTCAAATAAATTGGTTAGTCTCTAAGGTGCCACAAGTACTCCTTTTCTTTTTGCCAATACAGACTAACATGGCTGCTACTCTGAAACCATTCTTCTTAAAGGGCCACCAAGTGACCCTCCCATTTATGACACCCTTTACAACTAGGAAAAGCTCCCAGTCAACATCCTTCAAGTCTTTCAACATTCACCTCCACCAGGACACATACAGGAAGCTGCAACCTCATGATGTGTAGACCCGTGGCAAATTATGATCGCTGCTATTGACTGGGTCCCTCTCTCAACCGTGGCCCATTCATCGACCAGTTATGCCTTATCTTTTAGGCTCTAAACATTTTGTGGGAGGGGCCGTTTATTATGTTTTAAGTACCTAGCACAATGGGACACAACCCATTTTTGAATTTAGGTGCTACTGAAATATAGAAGTTAAATAATAATAAATCTAGGGCTCTGGGAGCAGAAGAGTCACAGAGTGCTCATTGAAGTCAACTGGAGAACTCTTTCTCTTTGCAGACAAAGACAATGTATGGGATTCGGTACACTTCTCTAGGCAGCATAATGCCTGCCTTTGACTGTTAACACCCTATCACTCTAGAGCAAGAAAAACAAGCCAGCCCCAACCACATCTGAAGGTAGTTTACAAACATGATTCTAAGATGCACTTGGCTGCAGTGTGGACTGGGCTTTGCGGGCGGGGGGCCGGGGGGGGGAGGGAGGAGGAGGAGGGGGGAAAACATACCTGGAGCTGTGATAAAGAGGTAGCAAATCCCTACTTTTTTACTGGCTGGTGTTCAAAGACTCATTAGGCCTGAGAGTGAAATACAGCATCTTGATTTCAAAATACTTTATCATACAAAGTATTTCTCAGGCCAACTCATTAGCAGTCTTACAAGGAGAGGCAAAGTTATCCAACTTATTCCCAACAGTGACCTCATTCCTAGGAAGAGCAGCAGTTGAGGTAAATTACTGCTTTTTTGTATGTGGTAATGATGCTGCCAAAAAGGAGGATGTATTTTATTACCTACAATTCCTCCAGGATTTTTTTGGGGGGATCATCTTTCTGCTGCGTAGATGCCAATCAAAGCTACTAGAGGGACCTGTTAACAATGACTTTTTAAAAGTAACATGGTTTTGGTGTGTGAGTCATATAAGAAACTAGCATTTTTGTGGAGTTCATTTTCATGTAATAAATCCACTGCCACGACAGAACTTGCTGCCACTACAAACTTCATTTCTTCTTTCCAGTGTTGCAAGGTGGCTAAATCATGAAGGCCATTTTTTGAGAGTTCTGGGATGTGCTAGTCATCTAGTACACAGTGATTTAGGAACGAGACCATGAGATTACAACCTGATTACAAGAAAAATGAATTTTCCAAAGTAGCCCTTGGAATAGTGGTCTGGGATCTTCCAGCAGTTAAAACTAATGACAAATTGATTCACTCTTACCTAAGGGGTTTTTAGGACTGTTAAGAAGATACATACTCTGGTGCCACCTGCTACTCCCATGGCTGTCACTGTGAGAAAAATGGACTTCCTATGGAGGGCCTCCCAGACTGTGATACATGTACGACTGGTGCTATATGAGTTTGATGTTTTACCGATTCACTTCACAATCATTATTTAAGTAGGTGGTACGTGACCCAGCAAAGTCTGGAACAGTGCTCTAGCCATAATGTTTTAACAGGCTATATACCAGATTTAAAATACTTTGGTTCTCAGGGTAGAACCTCAGATCTAACCTTGGGAGCACTGATTCTGCATCTCAGCCTTCTGAGGTAAATCAGTTTAGTTTCCGGCAGTTTACTAAGTGCGAGTCTTATGGACAAGAGATGAAAAACCATGAGTCTATTTTCTCAACAGGGAACTTAAAAACAGTCCTTTTCATAATAGTTCTGTTTGTCTCAGTCTTTGGCCAAAAGTTCCCCTCTGCCCATTGTTGTTCAATGTGCTTTGAACACCAAAATGCTGCCCACATCTCCAGGCATCACAGCACTTAATTGAAGTTAAGAATAAAGAACATATAAATTACCATACTGGGTCAGAACAATGGTCCATCTAGCCCGCCAGTGTCCTGTCTTCTGAGAGTGGCAAGTGCCGGGTGCTTCAGCTGCAATGAACAGAACAGGGCAATTATTGAGTGATCTACCGCCTGATGTCCAGTTCCAGCTTCCAGCAATCAGAGGTTTAGGGATGTCCAGAGCATGGGGTTGCGTCCCTGACCATCTTGGCTAATATCCATTGATGGACCTATCCTCCATGAATTTATCTACTTTTTTTTAAACCCAGTTATATTTTTGGCCTTTGGAACATCCTCTAGCAATGAGTTCCATAGGTTGACTATGCATTGTTTGAAGAAGTACTTCCTTATATTCGTTTTAAACCTGCTGCCTATTTATTTCATTGGGTGACCCCTGGTTTTTGTGTTATGTGAAGGGGTAAATAACATTTCCCTATTCACTTTCTCCACACCATTCATGATTTTATGGATCTCTATCATAGCTCCCCTTAGTTGTCTATTTTCTAAACTGAAGAGTCCCAAGCTTTTTAATCTCTCCTCATATGGAAGCGGTTCCACCCCCCTAATCATTTTTGTTGCCCATCTCCTTTTCCAATTCCAATATATCTTTTCTTGAGATTGTGCAACCATGCATACAGTATTCAAGAAGTGGGCATACAATGGATTTATATAGGGGTATTAGGATATTTTCTCACTTATTATCGATCACTTTCGTAATGGTTCCTTACATGCTGTTAGCTTTTTTGACTATCATTGCATACTGAGCAGATGTTTTCAGAGAACTATCCATGACGACTCCAAAATCTCTGTCTTGAGAGGTAACAGCTAATTTAGACTCCATCACTTTGTAAGTATAGCTAGGATTTTTTTCCCCACTGTACATTACTTTGCACTTATCAACATTGAATTTCATCTGTCATTTTGTTGCCCAGTCACTCAGTTTTGTGTGATCCCTTTGTAATTTCTCACAGGCAGTGTCAGACTTAACTATCTTGAGTAATTTACTATCATCTGCAAATGTTGCCACCTCACTGTTTACCCCCTTTTCCAATCATTTATGAATATGTTGAACAGCACTGGTCCCAATACAGATCTTTGGAGGACCCCGCTATATTCCACTTTCCCTTGTGAAGGCTATTTATTTCTACCCTTTGTTTCCCATCGTTTAGCCAGTTTCTGATCCTTGAGAGGACCTTCCCTCATGTTGTGTGTATATGGTTAGAGGCACATTAGAATGAATGGGACTCTATAAAATGAAAGCTATAACAAAATTATTTTCTGTTCACGCAGCAATCCAAGCTATAAGAAAAAAATACTATCCTGCAATGTCCCCAGAGGATTGTAATATGATTGTGGTATTAGGCCATTATTTTCACCTCCTTGCAATTGCGCAAATGAATTGGCCATAGACATTTTATTGCCTTTGATTAGCGCCTCACCAGCCCATATGAAAATGCCATAACATATGACAGAAAGATTATGGCAGAACTGGTAAAAAGCATAAAAAGACAGCAGCTAGAACAATAAAGAACCTTACAGTGCTGTAGTTATGGCAAGAGGCTAAGAAAATGAGGTTTGTATTCATTAGAAGATAAGTGATAATGCAGGGTCATAACTGAATTGTATAATATACTGAGGTTTATAGACAAGGTTGATTTAGTGAAACCCTCTGAAGTCATGACAGGCTAAGGAAATGCTCACTAAATAGGTGGACATGCTAATACAATTAATTCATTTTATCTTTATATGAGAGGCCTAGTCTCCTGGTTGGAAGTTCTATTATATTAAAGTGTTTACATCTTCTCTGTTAAAGAGAAACATTCTTCTGTTTCAGAATGAAGTTAAGAGCCGAGGTCTTTGACAGTGGAGCTCAGAGGAGTCAGACTGCTTTAAGCTAATGGGTTGAATGTCATCTCGAGATCATGAGCTGCTCAACATCCTTCAAGAAACAGAAGAATGTCTGGCAGAGATTAGCTGCTCACCTGACCATCCCTCACTGGTCCTCAGCACAACAACTGCGTGTTGCCAATTTAGAAGATGTCCTTGTACCAGAGCTCATATCCAGCTGTGTTTGCTCATGTTCTGTCCCCTAACAATGTTCCTCTGAACTCTGAGATATAGAAAAACATTCAGTTTTTCAAATGCATGAGGAGAAGTCTCGACCTTGGTTTATCATCCCATTGATAATCTAACTGAATTATAGATTCTGTTCTGAAGAATCCGTCCTATTGTAACTGTTTTGCAAAGTGCAAAGAGCAGCATTATATTATATGCTTATCTTTCTGAAACATATGGGTAAGAGGTAGTTCAACAATTCAGATCAAGTACTTCACATCCCAGCCTCTGGAATGCTTTCAAGCATTGTGCTGTGTTTTGCCCTGTGCAAAAGCAGGTTTTCGTTTGGCTGGAGTCAGCGGATGCCTTTGGATGTTTTACAATGAATGCTTCTCTTGAAATTGTGCAGGGTCAGGGTAAAAACCTCACGGCCTATCCTCACAGCCGTCCTAACCTCACAGCCCTGTCAACATTTGCAGAACGGTGCAAATTCATGGTAATACAGCTCGAGAAGTCATAAAGAAATAGGCTGTGAAGAAATGATGCGGAAATGCCACAAGTATGAGACACATCCAGCTGGGGCGCATCCACCCAATATATTGACAGGGCAGGCGTTTTTCTTTTTTCCCTGCACCTTAGTCATGAAGCAAAGCCATATTTCTTGCCATTCTCTGGCCTTTAGCCTAGCATGTTATTTTACACCTCATAAAACGTTTTATTAATAAAACTACAAAATAAAAAATAATTGTCAATGTCCTTCCCTGCTGTTGTAGATCAGGGCTGTGAAGCAGCTCCGAGTGTATTGTTTTGAGCTGCTGGCTCTCCAAGACCTGTCGATTGAATTTCCAAAGAAACTATGCTCAGCATATCTCTCTGCAGTGGTAGTAGGATTACCAGGATGCCTTTGGACTTGTCTACACTAGAAAGGGTTTGCCAGTTCAAGTATCCCAGTATGGATTTGCTGGCAAACAATCCTAGTTGAGACACAATTTATACTGGCAAATGAATGTTTATGCCTGCATAGCTTATACCAGTTCCCTGTACAAAATAAGATATATGAGCCCAAGGACTTTTTTTTTCTTTTTTTGCCAGTATAACTGCATCTATACCAGGGTTTTTGCTGTCACAACTGTGTCAGTTAGGGCTGTGATTTTTTTCACACTTCTAACCAATATAGCTGTGCCTGCAAAATGTTTAAGTGTAGGCCAGACCTTAGTTGCATTCAGTTAAAATGTAGTCCCCTTTGAATTCATGAAATAGCACTAACAGTGGGTCTAGATCTTGTGTGTTACTATTGTTTAACATCTAGCCAATTGCTTGACTACACACTAGTAAAAATGTTCAAGACGCCGAATAACCAAGTTTAGCCAAACTGCCTAAAGACAAAGCAGTACAATACAGAAAGGGAGGAGTTAATACCATACCAGTCCTCACAGGAAGCACTTCTCTCACGTGCCAGTTCACCTTACACACAAGCTGTGCTTCTCAGGTGTGTGTCTGAGACTACATATATTTATAGCAGACCTGTTTACAGGCTAAAAAGCACTCTGTATGTCACCCAGAACTAATATTCACCAATCTGCTTTTTTTTTTTTTTTTTTTGGTCTTGTTTTCCTCACATCAGTCAGTACCTTCCTTTATTTTGGATACTACATTCCAGGCACTAGTTGCCTGGGAAAGTACCTCCCAGCTTGTACCGGGACGTGGTGCCAATGTATCTTGTCTTTGACAAGTTTTGTATTTTCCAGTGCCAAAGCTGACTTTAACTTTGCAAAGTGTTATGGGATACTTAGCATGAGTGAACAGAATAACCGGAAGAGCAGAATACAGTGAGTTAACATAACTTCCCAACACCTATATACAATATTAATATTATATGCATCATACCTATCCATGTGGTGTGCCTATTTCTGTAACGTATATATGTGCTGGTTAATAGTTACAGACTTAAATTAGGACACTGCAGCAGGCTCTTTATCCTGAACCCAAATGCCTTGTTCATCAGAAAAAAGAAAAGGAGGACTTGTGACACCTTAGAGACTAACAAATTTATTTGAGCATAAGCTTTCGTGAGCTTGAGCTGTAGCTCACGAAAGCTTATGCTCAAATAAATTTATTAGTCTCTAAGGTGCCACAAGTCCTCCTTTTCTTTTTGCGGATACAGACTAACACGACGGCTACTCTGAAACTTGCCCATCAGAGGATCTCAATGTTTGTGATGCTTTGCGCTGCCTGCTTCAGGCACCTGCCTAAGAAATGGTCCTAGTTTCTTATTTGTGTTTTTCTGTCTCCTTGGACAGTTCCTCCCAAAAGAGGCGATGAAGTGGATGTTGCTATGGGACAATCCAACTGCCGTTAGTCACCACATGTTATTGCTCATGATCACTGTGGTCCATCAACCACAGTGGTCCATCTCACTCATGCCACAGATGCTGAGATCATCTCTGCTTATCTACGTAACAGATGGTTGGGCATTCATTGGCATATAGGCATCAACAATGTAGCCCTGCCTGTCTGAGGAGTCATTTAGTTTATAGTAGCTCATAGCTGAGGTTAAGAATAAAACCTCCACTGGAAATGGAAAAAGGGGAGTGAACCAAACAGGGCTACTTCACAGAAGGTATTTAAAGCTAGCCAAATGAGTTAAGGAGACTTACAGTGGCTTCTCAGGATTTCATGAAATTAGCGGTTAAAAAGACCTACAGTATTGCATCATCTAGAACATCTCGATTACCAATGCAAGATTCTTCCTAACAAGGCCTTTTCTGTGTCACAGAATTTAGAAAACAGGTGTAATACTTAGCTACCTCCCAGTGCTGTGTTGAGCCTAAATACATGCTTGTAAAGCACTTTCAGATCCTCAGATGAAAGATGTTCCAGGAATGAAGAAAATTATTACTGATAAATGCCTTAGTTACCCTGTTGGTTGCGTGAAAGAGCAGCACTCGTGTTCTCCAGAGGGAACTGTGGCCCGGACAGTGGGAAGGGAAGAGTGGATAGAAAGAACCCATCTCAATAAAAAAATCATAAATATT